AATTTTTAGACGAAAAATAAGAATATTATAAATTTTTGGAAAATGGGCGTAGCCACGCCCACTTATGGTTACATGTGTGTATCTTGGTAACCGCTGCACCAATTTCTTCCAAACTTGGCACAGTTGTTGGCCTTGGTACAGTTTACTAAATGGCCGAAAATTTAAAAAATCGGACAATAACCACGCCCACATCCCATATAACGGTAATTTACAGAAATACAAAATCTTCGATAAATCAGTAAATATTAAAGCTAATTTATTCAAAATTGATGCTTGCATCAATTCTTTACCAAGAAATACGTTTATGGTAAAATTTTGGAAAATGGGCGTGGCACCGCCCACTTATAATCACATATATGTATATCGGTAACAGTTCTATCAATTTGTAGCAAACTCAGTATTTTTATTGTACTTGCCACATAAAAGCAAAACGTTGAAACTTATTGAAATCGGACTAAAATTACGGCCGCTTTTCATATAACGGTAAATTGCGGAAATGCTTGAAACTGCGATATTTCGAAATTTAAGGACGCTTACCATGTAGCGGTAGCCTTCGGAAAGGTGAAAAAACATTTATTTAATACTTGCGCCGGGTATTTAATGTTCGGCTCCGCCCGCACTTAGACTTTCTTACTTGTTTAAAATAATTTTTTGAATTAATCATATTTTTTAAATTTTAAAGTGCTTAAAAAAAACCTGAGGTCAGAGTGAAAAACTAAAAACGCAGCTTTACCATACTATTTGGCCCATTGTTTCGTGAGTATATTGATTGTTTCGTGTGTTTTGAAATTTTTTTTTGTTTTTGTCGCACGGATTTACATTACAAAAAAAAAAAAAAATCAGTTTGTTCTAAGCGATTTTGTAAACTGACTATGAGGGTATTTCAGTAGTGTAAATTTTTTCGTCAGCCTGTAAAAACAGCTAAATCGGATTTTTTTCTACAATTTCTTTGTTTGATGTGCGATTTCTATAAGTGACATACAGTTGTAAAGGGGTTTAAAAAGCTAAAAATTTTTTTTTTTTAAATGCCGAAAAGATTTTATTTAATGAAATATCTACTTAAACGTGAACTCTTACACAATTACTTGTACCTAGTTAGCTGTTGTTTAATGCCTAATGATTATAATTTGACATTGAGATTATTTTTCCGACACATGAATAAATGCGAACAACTTGCAAAGTTATGTATATGAGCAAATCTCACGAGTGGTTAAATTTTTCGACAAAAACGTGTGCATTATCTTCAGTTTTGTATAAAGGTATACAAAAAATAGTAAAAATGATTCCTCATGCTCATAAACCCGTAGATGCCTATGTCACGTATACGCCCCGTAGCATCATACGCAGTCATCTAATAACACGTTTACTCGCACGCTTTAACCTGTGCAAGATTTTTACACAGTATTCCTTATGTACATACATACATATGTACATATATATTACTTTCTTCAAGTATATGACAATTTTAGAATGAGTTTTGAGTGTGCCAATGAAAATTGTAAAAATGGAATTTTAATTTCTCAAATCGTAGTCTTCTTTTAATCAATGTAATTTTTTCATTTGGCGACACACTAGTTTTATTACACTAGACTGATCGTTTTGGCAAAAATATTTTCACCGTTTAATTTTAACAATTTGAAGTATCTAAAATTATTACAAATAAAAAATCGTAAAATTCAAAAATTAAAAAATAGCATTTTTTAATTTCGTGGTACACTCTTAAAACTTTACAGATATTTGATGCCAAGGTTCATTACATCATGCAATTTGCATGTAATAGGAACATTCTATTTGAAAACTTCCCGAATTTATAAGAAAAAAACAATCATGATTTTTTAAGTGACAAGGAAAAAATGCGTTATTTCGGTACATTTTCGCCTAAATAAGTGTTTTAGACTAACATTGTTCAAATACTTGTTTTGATTTGAACTATGGTCGACTTCAATCTGGACCAAAATTTATATGTGATATCTTCGACTGTGGTAGTAGTCGGGTATTAGATGAAAAAAAAAATGAATCTTAATGTTTTGAGTAGCCATAGAGGAATCTGAACTTTGCCCACTGTGCGACACGCCTTAACCGTCTCCAATCGGGATCAAAATTTATATGTGATATCTTCGACAATAGTAGCATCGACGTAGGGTTGAGGCTTAGGAAATCTGATGTAAAAATTTGCTTCCTACATTTAAGGACCACCCTAATGTACATACATACATGTAGTATACTCTAAATATTCATTTGTGAATTTAGGCATTTATTTTTCTTTGGCACAGATACCCAAAACTGGTTGCATGGATGATACGTATGAAGACATTGCTGCCTTCATATGAGGAAGTGAATTTAAAAGGTACGTATGAAGACATTGCTGCCTTCATATGAGGAAGTGAATTTAAAAGGAGCCAAGATGCTGCACGATCGCATTAAGAACTGCATGCGCGAGAATAAAGCTAAAGAGAACAGTCATACTGATTACGACTGAGGTGAAACAGATGCAGCAGGATAGTTTTATTTTAAAAGCAGAGTTATTGATCAACTAAAATATACGTCCATATACATATACATACATATTTATTAAAAAAGTTGTTATTTATGAGCATCTAATAGACATTAAAAACCTTCTTAAATTACATATGTACAGTTATAAGTATTTTGAGTAATAAAGCCATAATTACTGTTCCGTATACAGCACGCAACTCTTCAGTGACTTGTTTTCTTTATTTACTTAATTTTCAAAATTGGAGTTGTAGTAATTGGGACTGCACTTCGGAGTGTAGCGTTACATCACATTAACCATTCAGCTTGGTTAGCAATTCGAAAATGTTTGGAAAACCAATCATTTTTTCGAGTCTTACCTTCGATAACGAATGTGCAATAGGTTAGTATTCGATTCGAGAACTCCGAGCCATTCTTCAGCTAAACGGCACCTTCGTTATCCAATGTATATTTTGCCTTCGTTATGAATTCGAAATCCAGCCCATTATCGAATTGAAATTTTATTGTGAGAGCGCGATTGTTTGATTCGAGAATGAGCAGGATTTTACTTTCTCTCTTTTTACTATGGTTTTAATTTTTTTCGAACCCATTTCGAGTGTATTTCAAATTTACTCTGAACGTTGGAAACCCAAGATTGGTTATGAATTCGTTCTCAGTTCGATATTCATATTTTCGAACGTTCGCCAAAATGTTTATAGGGTTGGGATATTAAAAAAATTCCACGTCTAAACCTAGCGTGTGACGAGAGTGGTAGACGCTTCTAGATGACAAAGAACGTAAAAATTACGAGGACATTTTTATAAAAAAAAATAATAATATATTATAAAACTGTCTTTTCGGTTTTAGAAGACAAATTAAGATGAAAAGTGCTTAGTATAAAACTTTTCTTACATTTCAACTTACCCATTTAAAAAATTGTGAATCAATAGATTTTATCTTTTATTGCGTTACTAAATCAACNAGATTGGTTATGAATTCGTTCTCAGTTCGATATTCATATTTTCGAACGTTTGCCAAAATGTTTATAGGGTTGGGATACTTATTAAAAAAATGCCACGTCTAAACCTAGCGTGTGACGAGAGTGGTAGACGCCTCTAGATGACATAGAACGTAAAAATTACGAGGACATTTTTATAAAAAAAAAAAAAATAATATATTATAAAACTGTATTTTCGGTTTTAGAAGACAAATTAAGATGACAAGTGGTTAATATAAAATTTTTCTTACATTTCAACTTACCCATTTAAAAAATTGTGAATCAATAGATTTTATCTTTTATTGCGTTACTAAATCAACAATAGTTTATTTGCTGCTTTATGTAGTCTACTTATATATGTACGTAGGTATGTAGTATATTGAAACTTTTATTAAATATTATGTACATTAAATATATTTACAACAATCGCTACAAATCTACTTACATAAATCGAAAATACGTATGTACATATGTCTTTAAATGTTACCATAATATTATTTTGTTTAAATTAAATGTAGACGCCGCTTAGCATTTGCGGGGAGTACAAGGATTATGGATTCGTTACTAAAAACTTATGAGTAGGCATAATACATATCGTCACCCTTATGCCAGAAGCATGAATGTGCAAATTTATCAGTTTTGAGTTATTGGGTTGACGTGATTAACCTTTTTATTAACACATGATCAAAATATTTTTTTACATGGAAAAAAATCCGCAACACCCTCGACAAAAAAAATTCTAAAAAATCAACGGTAATTTTTAGCGACTTGAAACTTGCACTTTATTATACTAAAATTGAATGGGCTACAAAACTGCATACCCGAAAATTTTCTAAATATTCTAATTAAAAATTTTGAAATTTTGATGACAATTTTTTGAAGTTTGATTAATTTTTTTGCAATTTCTGCAAGCTTTGCTACTTTTGTTATTGTGGTTTCTGATATAGATTGAATTATATTTTAAATGAAAATTATTAAAAATAAATAAATAAACATAATTTGCAAGCAATATCGTTTAGAATTTCGTTGCTAATTAGTTGCACGCATCTGTATGTATATACATATGTAGGTATTGCAATAAGCTAAAAATCTCCAACTCGCTCCTATTCTTCTTTAATATGTATGTACATACGACTGATTTTTTGTTTTTCACTTATTCTGTAGCACAAAAGTTACATTTGTAGGCTTTAATATCAGGTATATCTTCGTTTATGAGTTTTTAAACATTTGTAATCTGTCTTTTGTTTATAGTCTTTAAAATTCTTCATTCACATTATACAATAATTGTTAAAAGATTAATTAAATACAAAACACAATCGAGCATGCGACACGTATTTAGTACTCGTTGTTGTCCCAAATAAATGCATATATATATATATATATATATGTATGTATATGTATAATTATTACATTTTTATTGAGTATATAGTACTTTTTAAACAACGGGTTATGCATATTTGTAGATCAATTGTATTGTATTAATTATTTAATGCCTAGAGAATTGAAGAGACTACGGCAAATAGAGTTATTTTGTATTCATTTAAAATGTCATAAGCAGGGTCCGGATTTTAGGAAGTTGCCTTTTTTTCTCCTAACAGATAGATTAGTTTCGATTAAAAATTACCACGATTTAGCTTTCCGAGATTCCAAATATACATGTTGCGCTTTCTTTGGCTTTAATTATTTGATTATAGCCTATTTACAATTTTTCACAAAATTTTTATATCAAAAACAAAAGCCCTTATCAGAAAATTGCTCTGCTAGAGGTTAGAATATAAAAATTGCCTACTACCCAACTGGCGAAAAGGAAAAATTCAAAGTCATACTTAAGCTAATAATCTCGACCAAACACTAACATATTGTGTAAGCGCCAATCTGGTATTATTATTCTTATATATTTCATTCACTAAAGTTTCCGACAAATGACAACCATATTCAAAAGTTTGTATTTTTTTGTGTTTCACTTCTGTTTGTTCTGTTTCACTCATTAAATTTAATGGAGTGTTATGGAAGATATATTAATTGGCAGGATACAGTGCTTCCTTTTTTTCAAATGAATGAATTTGGCAAAATATTAAGGAAGATGTCGTATTCTTACACAAATCTACCTTCGAAAAATAAGGACGAGTATAAAGATTATGAAACCGATTTATGTATTTTTGTTTTGATTTTCTTGCAAAATAAACAATTATAAAATAAATGTCCTTTCTCTTTTGCTTTTATTTGATTTTTTTACGTCCTAAAAGTCCGTTCCCTGGTCATTAGACACAACAATTAAATATTCAATTTCGCCACCTTTTTTTTACTTACATTTAAGCAAATTCATCGTCTGCAAAAGCCCCTAACCGGTATATTCTGATGTGGAAAAGAAATTGTGAAAGCGGTTCCCGCAAATTTTTTTAACCCTTTTAACATTCTCTAAGCGAGGAATTTTGTTGTTACCACCTTATGAGCAGGTTACAAGATGTGGCACCATAAAAATGCAATGACTGAATTTAGATTGCTGAATATTTTCGACTAAAGGAAGGTGAGTGAAAAAAAACCTTAACCGATTTCAGCGAAACTCGATATCGGCTCTAATTTTTCTTAATAGAGAATTATGATATAAACATATGTATGTGGTAAAGATGGGCTCATTGTCACGTCCGCCAATGTTAAACTCCATCCGATTTCGTTGAAATATAGTTTGTGCTCTCTTTTTTATTAGAAAAACCTAAATATAAAATATGGGACAAATCGATTCACCCCTCTCAGAAATATGTACAAATGTTATACATATCGCTTGCTTAGCTAGTGAAAATTTGCTAATATGGCGATGAGTTGACGATCAATTTATTGAATTTGTTAGGGCTTGGTATTTAAGGCTATTTGACCAAGTAAGTTCCTGTGCAAGAAAAAATACTTTTTCTTCACTTTCCAGCCCGACGTTTCACTGAACTTCTCAGCATCTTCAGGGGCGATTTTTTTTATTATTGTATGTATTCTTGTTGGTGTTTTTAATTAAATTTTTAACAAACTTCCTGATGAACTACAGACTTGAAATTTTAAACTTAGCCCAGAACCCAGTGACAAGACAACATGAAAGTTGAAATAATTCGCTAGATGGCACAGTCGTCGAGATATTTGAAAGCTCCGTATTTATAGTTCGCTTTATTCTTATTTGAAATGTATATATTACCTACATAAAAGGAAATAACTAAAAAAAAAATTAGCCCATAGGTGGCGCGGGGCCGATTTATTTCGAAAACCTGCATATATGCTTTATTTTAGTTTATATTTATAATATATATTACTGACGTGAAAAGGAATAACTTCTTGAAAAAAATTTGCCGCCAATTAGAAATATTATAGCAGATGCAAAATTGTTTTTATTTTAGCATAGGCCATGTTTTATATATTTTGCAAAACAGCCAACTTGGAAAAAATACCAGATAGGACCTACTTAATTAAGTACAACGTACATATGCACTATGAACATTTAACATAATTAAGTAACCCCATTATAAAAACTGGCGCTTCACATACATTTTTTACTAAGTGCATAGTCCGGATTCTCACTCAATTAGTGGTCTGCGCCTTGGCTTCTATGAGAAGATTTTTGGTGGCAGAAGTACACTCGGAGGCTTGTCATTGCCTGCCGAGCGGCGGCCGCTATTAGAAATAAACTGCAACCTGGATCCTACCTAGTGCCACTCGACCACGGCGGTCTGTATACACATACATACTTATTAAAAATTTTAATACAGTTGTATGCCTTGTGAGCTTTTACCGATAATTCCTACTGATATTTTCCTAAAACAAAGAATTGGTTTTTGCATTTTTTTCATTGTTCGCCATTTGCTCATACATATTGTTCTTTTTCTTAAAAATCACAGCGTTTTCCTGTTACATACATATACATATGTGTATTTACATACGTACATATGTACATATGTATGTATATATTTTTTCTCCCTTAAAATTGCAAAGCTACAATTATTACAAAATATAGTTTTATGGTTAAATGTTTTTCTATCATTTACATGCTCATTATTGTAAGTATTTCCAATATTCTAGTTGTAATACACATGTCATTCTTAACATATCTATGTACATCTTCTGCTATATAAAGTCACTGAATGTGATCCACCGACTTCTTACATACAAAGCAATAAACTTGTATATACACAACAAAATGCAACCCTATTACATTAAATTTACAGCAAATAATATTTATTATACAATTAACAAAATATATACTTACATATCGCTGCCTAAAGGTGGAAAGGTGCCAATGCCACTTTTTTCAAAATTTCGTTTTTGATGCAGAATGACAGATAATGCGAAACTATATTGATTTTTCGGCTCCCCTGAACAGGGCTGCAAACCGGTTTTGAACGGAACCGTCGCTGTTCGCGGGCTTCGAACAGAACCACGAACCGAACCATTTTTGTTTTGAAATGCCAAAACCGAACCGAAAACCACTCCTAGAAATGGTTCGGTTCGGTTCGGTTCGGTTCAAAATCCACTAAAGCATTTTTCAAGTCTTTTAATACACAACTTTGTTTAAAAATGCAACCCTATGGTAAAAATGCAACCCTATGGTAAAACTGCAAACATTTTTGAGTTTAATGGCATCTCTGTGAGTTATAATTTGGTCCAAATAAAAAATGCTTGAAATCTTTCTATATAGAAGAAAATGCATATCGCCGCCAGCAAAAGATTTCAAATCCATGAAAAAATTGCCTAAAATTCACTTAAAACATAAAATATTTTTCTAGAAATTCTCATTAAAAAGTTTGCTACTAACAGGTCTATCCTTGCGCTGGTAATACAAATTTTGTAACCGGTAAATAAAGTTCCTCTAAATTTTCAAACCCCTTTCGCATTCTGTGTACTCCTGTAACCGGTAAATTCCGTTACCATCTCATAAGCTGGCAACAAAGTATTGCCCTGTGAAATTTTTCATAGCTGAATTGCTGGATATTTTAACTGCATTACCAACGTAACTAGAATCTCGGTGACAAGAACTGGTACAATTTTTTGGTAATCATATTTTCCGGTTACAAAATCTTTGGTAACGTGCAGAATAGACCTGTTAGATGAAACTTTGAAGAATTTTCATAATTTTTGGACAAAGTTTTAAACTTGGATTTATTCAGTTTTTGTTTAGACGAGGAACTATATTTAAAAGTAAACTTTAAATAAACAAAATAAAAAATATATATGGCCAAAATTGTTAAAATTTTGCGTTCCTATTTATTTTTCCATCACTATAAATGTGGATATTTGAATTTGATCTCAATAACGAAGCCCTTTTATTTTTGTATCCTTTAGCAATAAAAAAATTGAACCATTTCAGCAGAACCGAACTGCGGTTCAGGAATACTTATGAACCAGTTCTTGAACCGATACAAGCCATTTCTAAGTGGTTCAAACCACTGAACCGAACCGCATGGTTTTTTTGGAGTGCTTTGCAGCCCTGTTCCTGAACAATTTCGAAAAATGGACTTGGCACCTTATCAGATTTAGGTGGCGATATGTATTTGTCGCCCAAATATCACCACCAAACTTCGCCCCGCACTTCCCCGTCTGTGGAAAATATAACAAAATGCAAAGAAGAGTAAGCGCACCCCCAACAGGCTACCTTCTCAATCGAATGTCGTCCAATTACGCATACCACTACCAGTCAAGCCATTACTGTTACTTGCATTTGCTGGCGTCGTTGTTGCAGTGGTTAACGTTGTGGATGCTGTGGTTAACGTGAATTGATCGAGTCCATATTTGCGCAACAATTCAAAATCCTCATCTGGCGCTGGCATTGGTGGTGGCTTGCTGGTTGGCAGCGGCGGTGGTTTCATGTATGGCGCCTGCAACTGCGATGCAACAGCTGATGGGCGCGTTTGTGGTTGTGCGCGCATACGTGGAGATCGTAAGTGTTGTGGTGTGTGATATGGATATAGCGGATTGCTAACACTGCTGGAAGCGTTGCTCAAAATGTTGGTATTGGCCGGCAATGTTGTAGATTTGATGCCATTCGTCGTTCTTGCATTGCTAGCTGCCGCATTACCACCGCTGCCATTGCGTAATGGTAGTGGTCGTGCATTCTGATTCAGTGGATCGAAATCTTCTAAATCGAAGCTGGCATTATTGCTGTCGTCCAGTGATATTAGATCGTTCATGGTGTCTTCTTGCGAAGATGTTGACGACGGTGCGGTAGACTTGAGCGAAAATTCTGGCACTGGCAGATGATGTGGCTGAAGCGAGCGCAAAGACTAAAGGAGAAAAACAAAGGTTTAGTAATTGTTGATGATGATGTAGCTTTTGAAATCTGTAACTTTTTTGGGATTAAAGCAGTTTTTTCGTACTTTAATTTTAAGGAAAAATAGTAAGTAAGCAAGAATATTATCAGTGTTAAGTACATACATAGTTAAAAGGGAAAATTTATGTAGAAGCGATAACAATTTTTTAAAGGACTGAAGTTTTGAACTGCGATAGAAATTTAACATTTAAAAAGTATTTCGTTTGTAGAAACGATCTGCTAATAAAAAAAAAAACTATTTTTCTTGAATTATTTCTGGAAAGATGCAAAAAAAACGTTTGTGATAGCCGTTATATACGCTCCAGTTTCTGGTTAACCGGCAACCGGTTTGTCGGCGCAAAGTGTATGTAGAACTTCAATGAAGGCATTTAAACGTACCGGTTGGAAGTAGGGGTTTTTCAATATATATCCAAAAATCTCATTATTTTGATTCTGATGATAACATTTTTAAATATTTTTATATAGATATTTTGAGCTTAAATTCCTCTTTTATCTGAAGTGATTTTAGAAACTAATTTTTTGTATAAAAACTTGATTTTTGCAAGTATTTATTTTCAATTCGGTCCAGCTCACGTTGATCTTAATAAGAGTATTCATCTGAACGCGTAAATACCTCCTAACCATGTAAACCTCAAAAACCGATTTATTTACGAGGTTTACGCATTTACGAAGCATTTAAGCGTTAAGATGAATATACATAAGCCTTAAGAGTCTAAGAACCGAATAGGGCAAAGCCTTCGCCCATCTGTTTAATGGATGAAATCTATTTTGTGTGAAATTTAACGTGTTAGTAATATTTTTAATCAAATATTAAAAAATTATTACATATTATTTTTTCAATTTTGCACTCATTTGTTCAATGAACAAATTATATACTAATCGAAAGTATTAAGGCTGAAACTCTAGCTTTTGGGAAAATGTGTAAAAAATATTATATTTTTCTATATAGTACATCAACATTGTGATCTCAGTCGTCTATATATTAGGGAAACCAATGTCCAATGTGATTCATGTGTAAGTCCATACTTGCAGGTATGTGCGAGGAATATGTATGTATTGAAATAACTGCAAACGTTTTTGAAATCTTTTTAATCTTATCGTTTTAATCTTCTATGCATGTAAATGATCCTTTTGGAATCATCAGGAATAATTTGGAAATAAAACTTACAGGCTGGATCGAAATTCAGAAGATACGATAGTAATTTCTGCAAGAAATGAAGTCGTTATTTAGCACTACGTTCGAGATAATTCAAAAAATAGTAAAACATGCCGATTCTGCACAAATTTCAACAAGAAAAGCGAAAGTTGTGTACTATAACGTTGTACTATCTTTAAAATTTTACAAAATTAATTGGTGTATTTTTGTTCAGGTCGCAGTCCCATACCCATATAGGTATTATTGGAAAAAAATCTAGGTTGGAAGGTACATGCTTTATGCCACAGATCAAAGGATTCTGCTTTAGTAGGAAGTTCACAGTGAAATTCCCAGGAAAAGTACTTTCTGATACCTATTACATAGTAATCCCAATTTACGCCAACCAGGATGATCAACCCCAAAAAATGTATAGTGGCGTAAAGCTCAATAACACTCAAAGAAAATAGTTAGCCTTTTCGCAGTTCAAACATAAAATCGGAAATAAAATTTAAAACAAATGCATAGGGTTCGAACTTCGAACATCTGAGTAGTAAGGTATGGATGCAGTTACATAAATAAAATATAAGTAAGTACACTTGAAATTGCAAGCCGATACAACGCAAATAAAATTAAAATAATAAGCAAGAATAAGCATAGATGGGAGTGGAAATGGATGGTAAGGAACAGGAACGAGAAATGCTATGGTATGCAATCCAAACACCAACAGTTAGATGGAGATGGTCGCAGTTAGATTATTTCAAGGCAGCATATCCGTACTGTACTGCGGGTTACTACACTGTAACATTTTAATAAACGCATGGTATGCATGTACAAACATAGGTTGATCGCACAGGCGTATAAGATTGGCTGGACGCTGGGCGAGAACTTCGCGTACCTCTTTTTTCTGTCGCGGCGCTGGCACTGGTGTCGTTTCTGCCGAGGCTGCTATTGTTTTTGCCGAGTCATTGTCACACGAGCACGCCTGATGAAAGAATGATGACGATGCAGCAGACACAAATGAACCGCCACTTGAATCGAATGACGATGATGACACCGAGGCATTCGAATTATTTGACGATGATGAATTGCGCAGCACATCATTTTGCATTGAATTGCGCTCAGCGTAATCTTGCCAACAATTATGCTCTAAACGTTGTATGCCCGCGTACACGGCAGCAGCGGCCATGGCGATCGCATTACTACCACCACCAACAGCAACAAAACTGTCCGAATTAGAACCACTATTACCGTCAGTGCATTGACGTCGCGGTGGTATCGGCGGTATGGGTGGCGATTGCATTTCAGGTGGATTGTCGTAACTCGATTTGGTAGTCACAATTTTGTTGGGGGTCGATGATGTGCACGTCGCGGTCTGTGGCATTGCCACCGCTGAAACTTTTGATACCACAGTTGACTCATCTCTGTTTTCGTCTTTTGCTGGCGGCGGCTGAGGGTGTAATGCCAGTGCCGTTTGCTGGCGGCGCACTTGTGGATGGTTATAGTATGACACTGGTGCAGTAACAGCGTATGATGAACTTAAACCCATTGTAGGACCAACGGATAATGTTTGTAGTAGGTGTGCGGCTGGTGGCGGTGGGCGCGCTGGTGGTGGGCCACCTGTACGTGTGGCTATGAACCTTTGGTGGTAATAATGTTGTTGTTGTTGTTGTTGCGTTTGCGTTTGTTGTCGTTGATATTCATATTGATGGTTGTTGCTCGTAAATTGATCGTTTGCTTGATTATGGTGGTGGTGACAATTGTAGTGATGCTGGGGATGAGTTTGGTAATTCGAGTCTAAGCTATTGCTGGGTTTAAGCTGTGTGCGCGTATGATAAGAAATTATTCGAATCATTTAAGATTGTTTGGTAGATGGGTATATGTGGTGTTGATTGTTATTCAAAGCGTATCGTTGTTTATTTTTTTAAATTTATTTTGGGTAGTAGGAAAATGGTATAGATGATTTTTGGCCAAATTTCGTGCGATTGGTTTTTTTTTTTTTGTTTTTGGCGGGGTTTAATTTCACGGTCGATTTTATGAGCAAAACAACAACAACATAGAGTATGTGCAACAGAAATGCGAGTACATAAAAATATGAAAAATATAAAGAAAAAGAACAAAACAAAACTGATCAGAACGCAATGTAATGATAACAATGAACATTAATGCATACATACATACACATAAAGATATGTGAACAAGTACCTACCCATTAAATAAATATATGTATAAATTAATTATGTACAAGTATTGTGAGAGCAGCAACATACCTACATACCTACCCACTGGGAGAATAGGTAAGCACCTTACGAGGTAATCCATGTTTTCAATGTCATTTACTAGAAAGGCACAAAATGAACACCTCCGTCGACGCATTACGTTATCAATTTGCAAAATAACGTGCCGCCGAGTTTTTTACTAGCAGATTGCATTGGTCATGATGACAATTTTAGTACTAAAAGCTGAAAGAAAACATGGATTACCTCGTAAGGTGTTCCCCTATTTTCCCAGTGGGTGCATATGTATGTATTTAAAATACAGGCATTAAACGCTTACAAATCAGAGAGCCAGGCAGGCGGGCAGACAAGTGTACATTATAGATATTAAAGAAGCAACAGAAGCCAAATCAACAGTGTTTAGAAGGTTTGCCTGTCTGTTGGTTTGTTTATACGTCCAACAATCGTAAACTAATGCATGGAATCGAACGCAGTTTTCACCGATGTATTGCTTGAGGTCTAACTTTAAATAAAGAAGAAAAAAAATTGCAGAGTTGCCACCTATTTGAAAATTGTAGTTTAGGTAAATTGATCAGATAATATGGATAATTAATATGGATATTAAACTAAAGAGGTTTAGGAAAGTTTACTGCCGAAAATATTTTTGAAGGGGGTTGTGACCTGTTTGAAAGATTTAAATTGATAAAATAAATGAAATATTACAATACTGATGTAAAAAGAAAAAGGTTTAAGAAAGTTTACCGCCGAGCATATTTTTGAAGCTGGACCTATTTGAAAAAATTGTATTCAGTTAAATTGATAAGACAGGGTAAGAGTTTTGAGAGGGAGTAACAACACAAAAACACTTTTAAGGCGCAGTGAAGCACGCAGGGTATTTACTAATATAAAATAAAGTGTGATTGGCAACTCAGTACGGTTCTGTTTTAAGGGCTATAATGCCAAAAAATATAGTGCATTTCTAATGAGAGTTGATGTTCCACGAATACGAGGTAACCACGTGCGAATAGCAATTATGCGCCTGAAATACAACAAGGGGGTAAGGTACAGACAGATGAACGCATGCCGGAAGACTGGAATATAAATGTGCTCTACCCACTCCACGGCCCCGCCATACGCGATGCTCGACGAACGTGGTAAATATAGTTTCGCGCCTTTCTCAAAACGACCGTTACATGGTAAGAATTTTCGATAATAAGCTCAATTACTCTTAAGAAACAAATTAATAGTAATTCCGAAAATCCATAATAATCGTATTTCACACAAAACATTTTTCATTAAAAAAACGGCATCGAATTCAGTAAAATTGTTGCAATATACATAATTGTTGTCAGACCGAAAATAACGAAAACAATACAAATTAAATATAATCATATTTTACGAAAAGCGATCATTGTAAATATCAATTTTGCGTGAATAAGCTGCAGAAGTTCCTATTACAGTTTCTGTAGTATTTCTGCAAACTACCGGTACATGGGAGGTAACCTTGGGTATTGTCCGTTCTTGCTCATTTTCAAAATCATCTGTCCTTAGCTCAAAAGAAATAAACCTACCAAGTTTCGTTAATATATTTCAATTTTCACTCGAGCTATCTTGTGCACAGGCAAACGGATGGACAGATAGGCATGGCTTAATCGGGATTCGAATCCACTAACTCGCGGCTCGCTACATCCGAAATACTGCCGTCTGTCATGGTACAATTTCGACCGGATAAACTGCACAGTTAATCTCGATTTAACTTGCCTTATTTCTGTCTAAGCTCTAAGATATAGTTTAGCGCAACACAACGCACGATTGGCAACGCCTGCCCGACACATAAAATACACCATACATACATACACCAACGTATCATCGAAATACTTAAATTAAATGCACCAATATAACACATACATACATACGTTTATGCGTTTGTCATTTCACGAAATCATTTTCATGAAACGTAGTTTAAAACCAATTCATGTGATTTTACTAAATACATTCCACGAATTGATAAACATAGCTAATTTTTTTTATTAATAACAGTACTCACGCTACGATCCACTAGTGGCGGCTTAAATAGCGGATGGTTTTGTAGTTCCTGTGACAAATTCATCTCCGACGAACAGAGCGAGCTTGCCGGGCTAATGGTTGGAGACGGAGCCAAATGAGCAGCAAGATGAGTAGTGCCATGCGTAAGGCCCGCAAAACCGTTCTGCTGTATGTGCGCACTTGAGCTAGACGTAGCCAAAGGCGGGGCACGTCGTATATACTGATTGGAGCCATTTAGATCATCCGGACTGGCGTACTGAAAGCAGGCAGCCGTTGATGTATTGCCACCTGTAATGCTGCCACCAACCCCACTTCCGGCTGCTGTACGTTTATTGCTAAAAATTGGCGAACTAGGCGCTGAATGATGACCGCCTATAGATTTAGTTTTGCCATAACCGAATCCCACACCTAAAGCGCTGCCACTGCCGATGCTATTGCCGTCAATGCGATCGTGTTGTGAATTCGATGTGAGATGCGAACGAAAGTGTGTGGACGAGCTATTCGGTGGTGTAATGTCGCGTAATTTTGATTTGAAATCTTTGTAGGCGCTTTTGACGCCACGTGAACCCTCTTTTACCTGCACGTAATTGGGATTTTTTGTGGGAGAGAATGGATTTCGAATTAGTAGGTATCGACAATTAGAATATATGTATGTATGTAAGCCTAATTACAAGCGTATCATATGCATTAACAGCGTTAATAACTATAAAACTTTGGTACAATAAAACGAACAAAAGAATCAACAGTACAGTTACCAAATGTTAGTTGGGATTAATGCTAACAAATAGGATTATATACTGAGCTTTAGTTATATGGTTTACTACTAGCTACATACATTTACGTATAAGCCACTCACCGATTTCACAGCAGACTTTACGGCTGGATTCGTCTGCGTTTCAAAGTAAAGATGCGCATACAGCAGAGGCAGAAGCCGAAATTAATTTTTGCATTGCCAGATCAAATGATTTAATTATTTTTTATTTTTTTTTAAAGTAGATTTTCAATGCGAAATTTATTTTTTAACGGACGTTTACAGTGTATAAAAATGAACGTAGAAGCGCAGCAACGCATTCGCCAGTCGTCGTCAAATATTGTGGCAGTTGGAAATACAAATTAGCAGTGGCAGTTGATGGTTGGTGGTAGCGGTTTATTTATATTTTTTTTTTATTGAGTTTTGTTTTCGATATTTGTAGTAGCAATTTGAATGGGGAAAAGCGCATAATGTATGTAGGATAAGTGCGCGCGTTCGAAATAACCAACGAATTCAATATGAAAAAATACCAAAAAAGAAGAGAGACAAACAATGTTACTGCTAGCTAACCTATGTATGTATTTGTTAAGTAGATATTAAAAAATTATACATATGCTATTATTTAAAAAAAAAAAAATGCTTTGTTTTTTTGTGGAATTAAACTTATTTCTACATATATGTACATAAGTATGAGTGAATTTATCGGTCCAGAACATAGTACATATGTACATATGTATGTATGTATGTTGTTTTGTACAAGCACAATGCTGATAAACATACATACCTATGTAAGCAATATTGTTAATGGATGATATCAGCTGGTATGATTATTAAAGTTACAAAAAAATAACAATGACCATAAATTTTCAGCTCCATTGAACAAAAAAAAATATAAGATTATATCTGCTATTTGTCTGATATTATGACATACTACATACATAGCTCATTTGAGACTATTATATTTTTAATTGTTGCTAGAAAATAATTGTTAATAGGGAAGGTCAATGTCACTGAAGGCTTCAATGGCTAAAACTAACATTTTTCACCAAGTTAGACGATTGAAGGGCGATTTGAGAATGTTTCGACAAATTAGGAAGAGAGAGGCCTCCACTGCAATGGAAAGAGGAAGTGGAGAAGGACATGGCTTCACTTGGCATTCCAATTGGCATCAGTTGGGACTGAAGAGAATCGACTGGCATGATTTGTTGAAGTCGCCAAATAAGAAGAAGTTAAAGTAGGCGGAAAAGGTGATGAATACTACTCTGAAAAACATTATAAGGGTATTCTCGAAATTTTGCAAAGCCGTTACACGTAGCATGGATTACTTAACTTGCAAACACCCAACAACAAAACGCATGTGAAGTAGAGGTATACGCCGCCGAGCCACGCCGCCGCCGCCGCCGTTTTTTGTCATTCCTCACGCGCCGCCGCCGAGTTACGAAAATATCGGCGCGGCGGCGGCGGCGGCGGCGTTCGGCGCCTAAGGAATTTTGTACAAAATTTTCATGATGTATGTACATTGAATACATCGTTTGAAGGAACTAAATATTACTTGTATAAAAACACAATTTTACGAAATGAAAATTACATTTTTAAATTAGTTTTTTTTGCATAATTTGGGCCACTGGACAAGAGTATGATCTCCTTTATTTTTTCCAAAAATAGCATAACTTAGAAAAAACATAGGTAACATATTTTTTGACGACAGCGTTTATTACAGTTAAATTAGGGTCGAATACTGGTAATCTAACGATTTTTTTCCGCAGTAGACAATTCTTTTCTATACTACAAAAATACTACTTTTTTATACACCTACTACAACAACAAGAAACTTATAACACATCAAAAACTTTAGCTCCAATATCTCAGAAAGCAGTTTTAATAGAAGCGGCCTCTTTGCATCTAACTCCTCAATTATTGAAGATAAATCAAAGACAAGTTGATTTTTCTATGTATTTTTTTAATATTTTAAACAAACACTTTTTTGCTAATATTTACATTCGTAAGTTATTTTATTCTGGGGTCCCACATACGTATACAAGTACTAGGTGGCTGTGTGAAAATTACGTTAGCATTCCTTAGTGGTGGTCAAACCCCAGGAAGGTTTTGCTCCCTCGCATCGCTATGTTTTCTACACAGGGTTAAAGTTCCCTCTTTATGGTAAACATTAGTATTATTTTTCATTACATTCGGTTCTCCTTAGAAAAATTTGGCGCTTCATATTTTAGTGGAAGTTTTAACCATCTATAAGCCATTTTTTTCAACAGTGGGTCAAAAAGTCCCATTCTGGTTCGAGTTGATAAGACTATTGCAAAAATTTATTGAGAGCGACATAAATTACCCCAATAACTAAACTTTAAACAATTTTTTTTTCTTTAAATTTAAATAGTACATACGGATCTGTAGAGAATATAGAGATCCGTGTGTGTATGTATGTATATACCTCAGACCTTCTTCTGTTCGCCCATCAATCAGCGCCAGACACTCAACATTTTAATTCAAGTAGGAAGTAACAATATTTAAATTTAAAACTAATTCAATAATGAAATAAATAGAATTATAATAATAGAATAATTGGCATGGCGAATGCCTAACGCTGACGAGTTGAAATGATAAGATTAGTAGCCTCATGGCTCTTTGAAATCTACCTTATGAGAAGTAGCGCCGGCGTTTCCAGACGCGCCGGCGTCGCCGCCGCCGCCGAATATTTTTGACGTTGACCACGCCGCCGCCGCAATGCCTGTCGGCGTAAGCCTCTAATGTGAAGCAGCATTTCCTATCACTGCAAAGTATGCAACATCTGAACCGATGCACATTTTGCAAAAAAAAAAGCATAGCAAGATAAATACTACTTTCTCTTTTTTTTGCCGTATCTTGTTATTGTATTTGATACAGAATTTCGCTTCTTGCTACCTATGCATGCTACCAGTTTGCAATGGGGTGCTCTCGTACTCTTCCAAATTTGAAATAGTATTTTTGCATTTCGTGCGATCCGTGCATCGTGCAAGACTTAGAGAATACCCCTATTATAAGGGTATTCTCGAAGTGTTGCATAGCCCTAGCACGGTGCACGGATTGCAAGGTAAAAACCGGTTTTCCAATGGCACAGCTTTGTAAACGTTGGGTTTATAAGAAGAAAAGGCAACTAGAGGAGACACATTCTTAAAATTAAGACCAGCAGATCAGAAAGACCTTATACTATGTTATACTCTGTAATACATCAAAAATCCTATGCATCTATATATATAAAAATCAATTACGTTAAAAAAAAAAATTAATAAAATTAATATACACTTGTGGTCAGCTGATTAAGTTGAGTGACATTTTGACCAGTTTTGGCTATTTTTATTTAATCTTAAGATTTTTTTTTATAAAAGTCTAGCACATTATATAACCAGCACCACTCAAATCCTTATTTCAAACTTCATACAAAAGTTGTAAAACTTTAACAAATGCACCCAAAAATTTTAAAATTTTTATTCAGAATTTTTAGAAAAAATTGAGGTATGTAGTTTTATAGCCCACTAGCAAACTTATTCAAGTATGCTCGACAAAATCTTTTATATGGAAGAAAATGCACTTTAACAGCCAATTTATTAATTCTGCAAAAGATAGCATATTTTGCAAAATCTCAGATGGTGACAATCAATACTCTTTGAAGTAAGTACTTAGTAGTGTTTGTAAAATTGTGCTTACCTATTTGTTCCTATTTTAATACATTAAATTACCGGCAAATTATAGCAGATTTGAGATATGGATTAATCAGCGATTTTGCAGAATTTGAATGTAATCTGGCTGTAAGTTGTTTTAAATATGTAGTGTCGATTATCCAGACGATTTTAAATATTTTTTTGCCACGTAGTTGTGTCAAATCGAATAATAATTAGGACTTTCAGAAATATCTCCCCACCAGCGCCAGCTACCGGTATAAATACTTATTTTTACATGTTTAAAACATAGTCTGCGTCAGACAATAAATACGGCTTTTAGCGATGCCTTGACTCCACCTCCACCTACCGGAAATTAGTTTGCCCTATGCACAATAGACAATTATATAAACTGAATGCTATGCATTTGAGCCCAATCAATTATCTAGTATTTGAGTCTATAAAATATGTACAGACACTAGGAAAAGTTTCCGCACAGAGATTTTTTTTTTTATAGTAATCATGTTTTTCATAAAAAAAATTGTTAGTATTTTATAAACAAAACTTCATATTTGCCAATTTTCAGCAAAATTGCAAGCTTATTTGATTTTTTCTGACGCTTTGCGCAATTCCAAAATTCTTTCGAGTGGATGATGTCTGAAGGCTTCGGAAACAGTCTACGAATTTTGATAACTGGAACAGAAATAATCTTTTGCAAATGTGTAGTTTGCTGTGGAAAATTAATATTGTGATTGTGTTAAACTTTTAAGTATTCATATGTGTAGGTTATTACGTGAAAATCTGTGCTTATATTTATATGATCAAGTATATGTATAAGTGAAAAGTAAAGCATATATATTTCACGAGCATATAAACATACATACATATGTGTAAGCAAGCTTGCATAATAGCAGTGGTTGGCAGCAAGGTGTGAGTAGTTTATCAAGTGTAGTTTGATTGTAAGTTAAAAAATTGAAAAAAAAAATAGACTTATCGTAACTTGGTGCACCTTATTTCTTATATACACATAACATAATTTTATCTAAGCTAATGTGTTTTTATTGTTTTTTTAGAACAAAACATATAAACGCAAAATTCAAACTATAAAATAAAAAAAGAATTAGTAATACGGTTTACTAAAAAAACTAAACAAGTTAAGAAAGCAAAAAAGAAAATATTAATTGAAACATGAATAAAAAGTAAGATTTACGAACTTTTGGAGGTGAGTGTAATATAGATTTTTTCATTTGTAGCTGATTGATAACTGAGTGACGAGGAACTTTCTTTTTTTTACTTAATATTTTTTCATTTGTTTACTATCTCATTTTTTTATTTGCAATTTAATGATTTGGGAAGGTATTGGTTTTCGTAAACTTCTGACATACCGCATTGTACTGCAAAAAAAAATAAAATAAAATCAATTTGAACAAAACGTATCCAATATAAAAAAAGCAAACAAAAAATGGATAAACAAGAATACACAAAATACTT